TACACCTGGGTGGAGAGAGGCACTGTGAGAGTTAAGTGTCTTGCCCAAGAACACAACGCAATGTCCCTGGTCAGGAATCGAACCCGGACCATTTGCTCAGGAGCGAGCGCACTGACCATAAGGCCACCGCACCTCTGAAATTTTCGCACCGCACCTCTGTAATTTTCTTGGACAATTCTGTCCAAGGGGGGAAAGGTGCAATGACGTTAATCCTATGTGAAGTACCAACCCGTGAGACAAGGCCAGACCACAACACCAGAAACTACGTGCCCTACTCTTTGCTATAAGGATGTGGGTTCTTTAACATCCCCTGCTAACCATGTAACAGTGAAGATGCAGGAAACGTGGCGTATGATTTATAGTCCTTATCCAAGAAGACTTGATCGTCCAACTCAAGGGTTTCATTAGAAGCCGGCAACCAGTGAAAATCGCCACCTACTTTGTCTGTATTTTCACTCAAATTTTTTAAAAAATTCATCAGTTTGCTACCTACTTTAGTTAGCTCAGATGGCTATTTCAAAACTTATTGAAAACCCTGCTAACTATTTGAATGATGTAATTACAAAGGCAGCACATTTTCCTCAGTTATTTTAAGACCCTGAGTGTTGGTCTGGTCTGGGGCTGGAACCCTTGACCTCCTGCACTGTAGTCTGGTACTCCACCGACTGCACTAACCAGGTGGTGGTTGTAATATTAAAGTAACAAGTAATAAATAAGTTATTTTTCTCATGCAATTTGGAATGAATATAGACCATTTTCGAGTTACTGTGTGCCTTTGTTTCAAAACAAGTCTTTGTGCAAAACCTTTCATAGGAAAATAAATTTGATTTGCATGAAAATGAACATGTCTGTCCTTATGAATCGTCTTGCATGAAGACTTGTTTTAAAACAGAGGCAAAAGGCAACTTGGGAGTGGCCTATTGTATGAGCTCTTTCTTAGTCTTTGAAAATTTACTTCTGCTTATTTATTCCAAGTTGCACTCAAAATCATTTGGTTACCTAATGTACTAATTAATTAATTAATTAAT